CACTAAGCCCCTCTCGCCCCCCCCCCGTCTGGCTCAAGGTCTGGGGGTGGGGGGGTGGGGGGGTGTTTTTTGATCCCTGGGCAAAGTGCAACTTCTCTACATTCGACAGAAAGAATACAGCCACACCTGGAATTAACACTATTTATCTACTTGGCATTCAAAATGATTTAAAAAACCCTTTCCCAATATAACTTTTGAACTGGTGCCTTTGTTGCACTCAGCCAGCCCTTTATGTAGAGTTTGCTTCACATGCTTTGGTTTCCCCACACTGGGCAATGAGTGCAGAAAAGGGCAACTAGGATGGTTAAAGGGTGGGAACACTTCCCCTATGGAGAAAGGTTAAGGCGCTTGGGGCTCTTTAGCCTGGAGAAAGGGTGACTACTTGGGGAGGGTGTGTGTGAGACGTGATTGAGGTTTACAAGACTATGCCCCAGGTAGTCCTTTTCTCCCTTTCTCACAATACAAGACCTCGTGGGCACTCCATGAAATTGCTGAGCACTAGGTTAGAACGCCTAAAAGGAAGTCCTCCTTCACTCAAAGAATGATGAACACATGGAATTCACGGCCACCTCTGGCGGCTGCTACAAGCAGGGACGGCTTCAAGAGGGAATTGGATAAACAGACGGAGCAGAGGTCCATCAGTGGGGCTACTAGCCACAAGGTATAGACAGGAACACTCAGTCTGGGGCGAGTGATGCTCTGTATTCTTGGTGCGGGGAGGGGCAGCAGTGGGAGGGCACCTGGTATTTTTGGCCACTGACAGAGTGTTGGACTGGGATGGGCCTTTGGCCTGGTCCAACGTTGGCTTCTCTTAAGAAGTCTTGAGGTGAAATTCTGAAGCTTTCTTTCCAAGCTCTGAAGAGCCTTCAGCCTGGCCCAGCCCTGCCAATCGGGGTCAGAGACGTGCTTTCCAGGCAGACCTGAGCCCAGCCCAGCCTTCCCACTCCAGGGCAGTGTAGCTGGCCCCAACCAGACCTAGGAACTGATGCTCTCTGGGCCTGCGACACCTGGCTTTTCGGCCCAGTTCACTCTCCTGGAGAGCAGCACCCAGGGGGAGAAGAGCCATTGCAGGGGCTGGGAGCCTCTGTCGGTGGCCAGTACAGGCAGAGAGGGGGAAGGCGTTGCCCCTGCAGCAATGGTGCTCGCGCCCCACAGCAAACTGGTGCCACCTTGGGGTGGAGACCTTTTGGGAGCAGGAAGGCATGTGAGGGACAGCAGAGCACACAAGGGAAGGGGGTGGTGGCAGTGCACTAAATGGGGCAGGTCCAGAAGGTTGTGGTGGGATTGCCACTTTTGACACCAGTGAGGGGTCCCTTCTAACTAGGTACAAACACCCACAGCATCTGACCCGGCTTCTGCAGGACGGTGGCCATGGGCTCCTCAACTGACCCTGACAGTTTCCTAAGAATGTGCTTGTGGGTGGGTGGGCGGGCATGTATTGTTTTGCTGAACTTTGATATTAAGAAGATTCAGAAATAAAACACAATAGTCTGTTGGCAAACCACAAGAACCCTGGCCTTGAAGAGCCAGGAATGGCCAAGTACTTCAGTAGCCATTTCCTAGGAAATCTCTCCCTGGATGTTGCATACTTTGGACAGTAGGAAAAGGGCATGGGACAATGAATCAAGCACTGCCAAAGGACAGTCACCAAAGTGCTTGTCTGGAGGTGTCTTAAGGAAGCGGCTCTTCATGTGGGCCGTTGGCACGTGTGATCGTGTATGACCGCCTCAAATTGGGAACGGCCAGCACATTGAGAGCAGGAGGCGGATCAAATTGGGTAGAGTACTTCGTTCTCAGATGTAGTGGAGCGTTTCTGTGTAGCATCTTCTTGGAGGGAGTCCCAGTCTTCTTTAAGCAGCTTCTCTATAAGTAATGCTCATCTTTCAGTTAGATTCCTTGATTTCCATAACCCTATATTAAACAATTCGGTATCTATATCAAATCAAATGCCTGTCCAAAGGGGCGTCCTCCAGGGCACCTCATCTATTCCACCTGTGCCTGAATGACTTTGTTCCAAGCTTGCAAGGCCTCTCCACTCACGCACTGTGTCTGGGAAATCGCTCAGGACTTGCCATACTATATGCTGATGACCTCGTCTTGCTTTCCAGAACTTAGATTGGATTATGCTGCAAGATCATCACTGAGGAAAGCGTCTTACCCCTGTGCGCGTGTGCCCCCCCCTACGCACAAGAACCCCACCCCCCAGTGCTGGAGCACCAGGATGGGAGGAAGACAAAAGCGGTGCCGGAGCAGGCTGGCGCAGGTGGGCAGGTGGGTTTATCTCCTGGGCATGCAGGCATGGTAGCTGGTTCTGTAGACTCCTCTCACCTGGTGGCTGGGCGTGCCCCCTCTCTCCCGCTTCTGCTGGCTTCAGTGGGCATGCAGCTGCAGACACCAACCACAACGTCTCTGCAGCACCAGGGTGAGGGTAGCTGCGGAGCAGCAGCAGCAGAGTTGCACAGTGCAGGGCTTTCTAGCGCTCCTCGGAACCCTCCGCGACTCCCCAGTCCTGGGCTTCTCACCCCCCCCCCCCCCCCCCTGGTTTCCTTTCCACACATCCTTTCCTGCCAACTAAGGCAGGCGTTTTTCACAAAGGATTCTTTGATGGGTTTTTCGTGGGCCAATCCCCCCCCCAGCTGGCCCTAAGAAGAACCGGCCATTGAGTCACAGCTGACTTATGGCGACCCCATCCACAGGGCCTTCCAGGCAAGAGATGTTCAGAGGTGGCTTGCCATTGCCTTCCTCTGCCTTTATTCATTCGGGAGGCTTACTCCTTCAGAGCGCTCCCGCCTCCGAGGATCACAGGCATTGAGTGTGTCAGCTTAGCTTGGGAAGCCAGGGAGAGTGTGGCGATCTGACTAGTGTACCGTCTTCCCAACGCACCGGCCAGTAGCCTAATGTCTCTGGTGGAGGCCGCATTGAGTTGGGCACTGGACTGATAGTCCCGGGTGAGTTCAGTGTCCATGCAGATGACGCAACCTCCACTCAGGCAGTGGACCTGGTGTTGTCCATGGCAGCATTAGGACTCTCCCAACTTGTAATGACTCCTACTCATCGGGCTGGGCACACGCTTTGGTCTTTGCAGCGGGGGTCACAGTGGACCGGATTACTACTTCGGCAGTACCATGGTCGGACCACCTTGCTCTGAAGGGTCATCTGAATATGTCACTCCAATCCTGTTTGGGTAGTGAGCCCATTTTGGCTCGCCCGCAGAGCCAAATGGGCCCAATGCGGTTCCAGATGGCTCTCCAGGATCTGATGCCCCCTGGCAGCTTCTTAGATGAGCCTGTAGAAGATTGGGATAACCGACTCTCAGCAGCCATCAACAAGATCGCTCCCCGACGCCCTCTGTGCCCTCACTCAAGGGAGCCAGTTTGGTGTAGTGGTTAAGTGCGCAGACTCTAATTTGGGAGAACCGGGTTTGATTCCCCACTCCTCCACTTGCACCTGCTGGATGACCTTGGGCAAGCTGTAGCTCTGATAAGAGCTGTTCTTGAAAAAAAGCAGTTTATGTCAGAGTTCTCTCAGCACCACCTGCCTCACAGGGTGTCTGTTGTGGGGAGGGGAAGGGAAAGGAGATTGTAAGCCGCTCTGAGACACCTTTGGGTAGTGAAGGGCGGGGTATAAATCCAATCTCCTCTTCTTCTTGCTCCGTGGTATACCTAGGAGCTGTGGCTGATGAAGCAGGGGCTCAAACGGTTAGAGACAGTGGCGGCACACTCGCAACGAAGCCACAAGAACATCCTATAGGACATTTATAAGATCCTACGAGACGGCAGTCAAAGCCGTAAAAAGAGAGTACTATACGTCTGCGATTGCGTCTGCAAGCTCATGCCCAGCTCAATTGTTTAGAACAATTTGGTCTATTCAGAGGTCATTTCGGGGGGATCACGGGGGATCGCAGTTCCCCGGGTGAGGTACGGGGGGCGGGGCACATGACAAAGCCCCGCCCCTCGCTTCCGGCCGCCCCGCTTCCAGCCCTCATTCAGCCAGGAGGAGGCAGGAGAAGAGGGAGGGTAAGTTGCTTCCTCCCTGCCTCTCCCCACTCCTGCCTGCCTGGGGCCAGGGAGGGCCTTCGCGGGGCTTCCTTGCACTCCCGCCGGCCTTGCAGGTCCACCGCCGGGCCCCTCATGGGGCTTGGCAGTGGAGCTGCAAGGCCGGCGGCGGCCGGGACCGTTGGGGGCGGGGTGTGTGGCCTCATGACACACTTCCGGTGATGTCAGGGGGTGTGGCATATGCTAATGAGTTCCCATAGCTCTTTTTCTACGAAACGACCCCTGGGTCTATTACTACTTTGCCACAAGGCAAACCAAACGCTAGGGAATTGGCCAGTGGCTGCAAGGCTTTTGCGAGCTATTTTGCAGATAAAGAGTTGTCGCTCTGCCGCAACCTCCCCGCTACAATTGATACAGTAAGTGAACTCGAGGCTCCATGCAGGTCTTCTGGTCAAGTTCTGGATCATTTCGGTCTGCTCAGCCTAGAGGAAGTCGACAAATTGCTCCTAACTGTCTGCCCTGCCACCTGTTCCCTTGATCTGTGCCCTTCGTGGCTAATTAAAGCTGGGCACAAGGGATTTCGAGGTGCCTTGTG